GAGTGACAGGGCAAAGTCGGCTTTTAGGCATGTCTAAATGTTAACTGCATGCATTCCGCGTAAAGAAACTTACATATTTTTCTATGCCAATAAAACGATATCATACAGAGTCCATAAAATTTTACAATGGATGCGGACCATGTTGTACATTTCATGAAGAGCAGTGGTAAACGGCCAGGTACGATGCTATGTGAATGGACATTTCGCGGTCTTAAAAAGCCTTATAATTAGAAACTTCTTTAAAACCCAATTATACTCCTTCTTTAAGTATAAAATATAAAGAAGACGTGATTCTATATTGATTGACTAAAAGAAAGCATATTTTTGTTTATGGTTCCTATAAAATATATTTGAATTGGCAAGACCATCGAAAATCAATGGGAAAAATGCATGCTACTTAAGTAGTCATTTTTTACCGAGTACGCTTTCTACAGGAGATTAAAAAGAAGTGCATTAAAAAGCCAACATCCTGCCGAGTCTGAAATGTTATAAGAGTATGCCGCAAGATAATCAGTATTACAACCGCGACCAAGTAATTCTGCCTAATTGAAAACGTGTTTCAGAATTTCAGCCAACATTTCATGAGATCGGTCACTCACTATAATAAGGGACAGAAAGTAGACGAAAAGTCGCACTGGACTAAAAGTCTCACAAGTAAAATCCGTACCAAACGAGGGTGGAAGAATACATATTTTTATAAGACGCTATGAACCCTTTTCACCAAAAGCCACCGTGATTGAAATTCAACCACCCACAATAGCTCTTGCGGCCAGTGCTCCACTGGTTTTCTGCGCTCCTCGTACAGCAGGTTCTTACTGCTTTAGCCCACCTTGTGTTCATGAGCGTGCACGAGGTAAAATATTCCCAGGCCCTGGCAATCACACAAGCACACCGGTGTGTACGCGTACCCACCCGTCGGGGGAGGGGGGCGTTAATGGTCTCACAGATCGCACCGAATCCACAGTGGCAGCAGCACTACAAATGTGCTGGCAGCATGTGGTGTCGCGCTGTCGGCGGCGGTTGACCGCACCTCCCCTGCCCGTCCACGGAAGGCTCAACGACGCGCGCAGGCAGGATCGCGTACCAAGCGCCACACTGACAGTATGGTTAGCTCTTTATCCTGCAGACCCAAGCACGCTGAGTAAAGAAAAGCCGGGTAGAAAGTTGTGGGGTCTGCTAATTACTTCTGCTGCGCCGCCAAGAACACCAACCAACTGTTAGCGTGCTGCAGGTTCGGATTTCTTGATTTGCCTTTGGAAAAAAGAATACGACACTTCTACTTGTTCATAATGTTTGATATGAAAAGAAATGGGGCAAATACCGATGGTAACTTTCCTCTCTGCTGGTTAAGAATTATTGATGGTCCTTATTCTCTAACTGCAGAAAACGCACACACATTCCTTTGATCTCTGTTAGGAACCCTTCTTGGTGAACAAGTGCTGCGCAAAAGTGCAAAACACTTTAGTTGCAATATCCGTGGCAGATGGCGAATCGTCGAAGAAAACGCTTAAGAAAAAAACCCATGCCGAGTTTAAACTACCACGTAGCTAAAAGTTTGGCCCTGAAATCAAACAAAACTCACTAAACCATATAATAGATGAACGGCATAAAGTTAGTTGGCAGGTTGTGCCTTGTGTAAATTATGCTTATTTAGAATTTTTCTTATTCGAGGAGGAAAACTATTACGGCCCGTGCCCCTATTTAAACAACCACATATATTAAGAAGTCTTAATAACGATCATAAAAGAACTACCACGTCTAAAATGCAATGCATCGTTTTAAATCAAAAACTATCGTTCAAGAAGGAGCAACTGCCTGATATCATTGGCCTAATATATGTGGACACTCGATTTCAGTGTCGTATATGAGAAAAGTATTTTGTGATTACAGATATCTACGCGCAATCGGCTTAGATTCTAAATAGTGTGTCATTTTTCTACATCGCTTCGTAATACTTCTGCCGCAACATTACTCTACCAAACTTCACATTAGTACATTTAATAAAAATAACGCCAGGCATAATGTGGGCATGACGGATGAGCTTACAGTCCTTAACCAATGACATAATAAACCAAAAAAGTCTCTCGAGACGTTCTACCCTATTGTTCATAAAATAAAATAACTTTTTCGTCGAGGTTATCTTTAAGTTTATAAGGATGATGGTGGCCATTTCGTTTGGTACTTTATTTCTTTCGTACTGCTTTTAGATAAAGGAACAACAATGGTAGGGGGCGCTCACCGATCGTTCATACGGAACTCACTCGTTCCGTTGTGCCTTAAGGGCTCTCTCGAGCCCAACCAGCAGCCGCACAGCAGCGCATGATATATATATAGGCAGAAAGCTATTACCGACAAAGACAAGGGAGACTGGAATGGCCATTTCTGGCTTATTTGCCGTCGTCAGCCAGCCATACCCAAGCCCGAAGTGTGGAACACCCGAGCCTCGGTGGGTAGAGGCGTGGACTTCTAAACAAACAGGTTGCGAGTTCGAGGCTCGGGT